GAAAAGATTACTGAAAATGCATCAAGGATGGAATTTAGAATGCAGGAGGTAGAGAACAAGATAGAAATTACACAGGATGAACAAATCATTTCACAATATAGGGAGATGGAACACGCATTGCGTATCAGAGGCCTGAGGGAGAACCCTCAGGAAGACTTAAAGATGCTTATTGTGAAAGATATTGCTCCTAATATTGGTTGGCGGCCTGAAATAATTGAGAATGAGATAGAAAAATTTTTTAGAGTTAATTCACGGGTTGCTAGACAGAGAAATCTACCAAGAGATGTGGTTATTTATTTTTCTAGAAGATCTATCCGTAATGAAATTATACAGGCTTTTTACAAACAAAAGTTTCAAATTGTTGATCAAGACGTGATAATTTTAAAAGAGATACCTCCAAAAATTTTAAGAGCCAGAAAAGATTTTACTTTCTTATCTGATGAGTTGAAACATCGTCAAATTCAGTTCAGATGGGAGATTCCAAGAGGAATAATAGTAAATTATGAAGGGATATGTCACAGATTAACTACTGTTTCCAAAGCAAGAGATTTTTATCAGTCTATCTTAAAAGTAAGATTGTCACCACCTCCACAAATAAGGATGACGGAAGAGTCTCTTATGGCAGGAGCCTCATCAATGATGGTTATGGAACAAGCTGCACCGAATTCTGACATAAAAGAGCAAAGGATGACACGAGCTGCCCATAAACGTAAAGAAAAAGAGCAGTTGCAGAAGAGTGGTGAAAGTTTGGTTGTTACAGAGCCTGTGGGAGGGGCAAGACCAAAAAGATCTTCGACAGCAGATCTGCAGGCCATGCTCCAGAGGCTCCAGGCCGGTGGAGATGGTCAGGTTCCTGACCTGGAATGTTAATGGCTTAAACGTGCCCCAGAAACGAAGAAAGATTTACCATTATTTGAAACAACATAATAATGATTTGATATGTTTGCAGGAGACTCATATAACTTTAAAGGATTCTAAATTCTTGATGAATTCCCGTCTGGGCACACATTTTACTGCTCCAGCCCCTGGGAAAAAAGGGGGAGTGGTAATTTATGTGAAGAAAACTTTTTCAGCTAAACTAATTGAGGCTGATTCTGAAGGAAGATATCTTTTTGTGGAATTATTATTACAAGGCCGAAAGGTTCTTATTGTTGGACTATATGCTCCCAATCAACAACAGAAACAATTTTATAAGTTGCTGCATGGCAAGATATCTCAGTTGGATTATAAATCGGTAATTTTGATGGGTGACTGGAATGGGGTTTTAGACCCAACTATAGACAAAAGAAGTTCCTCTAAAACTTTTATTCAAACTAAATTACCTATGACTTTCTTTGATTTGAAGGAAGAATTGGAGCTTATTGATATTTGGCGAGAAAGGAATACAAGTGATAGAGACTTTACCTTTTATTCTGATAGACACCAGTCATTTTCAAGGATTGATTTTTTTTTTATTACTAGTGACTTCCTCCCTAGAGTGAGGAAGGTGAAAATTTTTCCTAGAACATTGTCAGATCATAGTCCGGTGTGGATGGAGTTATATTCGGAAGACGGGAATAGAAGATCCTGGAGATTGAATGAGAACTTATTTAATCGGGAGGAGTTCGTACAAAAGTGTAAAGAACATTTAAAGGACTTTTTTACTATAAATATGAATAAGGGAACATCGATGTCTATGGTGTGGGACGCTAGTAAAGCATATATGAGGGGAATTTTGATTCAATTGAATAAAGTTTTTAGGGAAAAAGGGTCACAAAGACGTAGAGAAATAGAAGAAGAGATCAAATCAAAAGAACAAGAGTTGGTTCTTAACCCTACTGATAATAATTTAAAGGTATCTATAAAGATGCTTAAGGAACAATTTAACATGTTGATGGCAGATCAGGTGGCTACCAATCTGTCGTATATGAGACATAATACTTTTTGCAATGCGAATAAGCCTGGGAGGTGGTTGGCTTATCAGTTACGAAAGAAACAGAAATCTAGAATTATAGAGAAAGTAAAATATAAAGGTACTGAGGTTTTTCAGCAAGATTTGATTAAAAAAAGTTTTTTGGACTTTTACACAAAATTATACTCAAGTGATAATATAAGGGGTTTGGATATAGATAAATATTTACAATCAGTACATTTTCCTAGACTTTCAGAGGAACAACAAAATGGGATGAATAGTTTAATTACTGTGGAGGAAATTGGCTTAGCTATTAAGCAGTTAAAGGTTGGAAAGTCTCCTGGAACAGATGGACTGACTTCTAGGTATTATAAGATTTTATCTGAAGAAATGATAGAGCCACTAAAGGAACTTTTAATAGTATTTTGTTGGGTATGCAAGTTCCTCCTTCTTGGAAAAGAGCTTTTATATCACTGATTCCGAAGGAAGATCAGGATCTTACAGAGCCTAAGAATTATAGGCCAATTTCATTATTGAATGTTGATTATAAGATCTTTACAAAAATTTTGGCAAATAGATTAATGCAGGTTATGAAAGACTTGATTCATAGTGATCAAGCAGGATTTATAACAGGGAGATATATGAAACATAATGTTAGACAAATTATTAACTTAATTGAGTACTTGGATAAGAATAATCAGATTCCTGTGGCTTTTATCTTTTTGGACGCTGAAAAAGCTTTTGATCAATTGGACTGGCAATTTTTATTTTCTTTGGTAGAGAAAATGAATTTTGGGGATAATTTTTTACATGCACTTAAAGCTATATATCAGCAGCAATCTGCACAAATTGTTGTAAATGGGGGATTGACTGAGAATTTTAATATTCAAAAAGGGACAAGACAAGACAAGGATGTCCATTATCCCACCTCAAACCAACTTACTTCTTTCCCTCTTTTTCTTCACTCACCCCCTCTCCTCCTTCACCTCAACCTTCCTACTTACTTCTCACCTTCTTCTCCTCCCTCTTGATGCGGTCCAGGAGAAATGCCCGAGCAGTTCCTCTCTCAAAATTAAAACATTAATATTATATACAATAAGACTATTTCTACTTTATCTGAACTACTTAAACTTCAAGCCATCCACCCCCCTCCCCCCACCCCCCTCTCCCCCAACTTCCCAGAGCAAAATACAGGATTATGCAAACATATTAAACATAATCTATTTAAGTTTACTAATTATACAATGAACAAAATCATAAAAACCCTTAACTCTCTTCAAACTTTAATATCATAAGTTTATAAACAAAATCATTACTCATAGAATAAGTGAAACTTTGTAGTTCCATATTTCTTCTGAACATATTCTATCCATCTTCTCCATACATTAAAATATCTCTCTTGTGAATGGTCCTTTAAATAAGCAGAAATTTTAGCCATTTCTGCTAAATTAGAAACCTTAAATACCCATTCTTCTAAAGAAGGCAGAGTATCCTTCTTCCAATATTGACCCACCAGTAATCTTGCTGCTGTTATTAAATTCAACATTAAAATAGTTTCTTTAACATTAAAGTCCACAAAAATTCCCAAAAGAAACAGTTGGGGAGTAAACTTAATCTTCCTTTTAAAAACCTTTTAAATGTTCCACCAAATCATAATCCAGAAGGGTCTTCCCTTATTTTTATAAATACCGTATTTTCCGGTGTATAAGATGACTTTCTAAACCCTGAAAATCTTCTCAAAAGTCGGGGGTCGCCTTATATGCAGGAATATATGGGTAGCTGTTTTCTGAATTTAAAACCAATCTGCCCCCTAGTGGCCAGCCCTACTATTTTTACAGAAATAAGCACTAACAGGACAAAGCTTTCTAGCAGCAAAGGAATGGAGCTCCTATTGTGCTCATCTATAAACAGAAATTCAATATTGTACTGTATTTTCTGGCATATAAGACGACTTTCTAAACTCTGAAAATCTTCTCAAAAGTTGGGGGTCGTCTTATACGCCCAGTCGCCTTATACGCCGGAATATACGGTAACTCAAGGTGACAAACATACCTAATATTCCTTCCTCCTATTTTGTATACAGCAAACAACCCTGTGCGGTGCATTGGGCTGAAAGAATATGATCTATCTAAAGTCACCCAGCCAGCTTTCTTGTTTAAGGCAGGATTAGAACTCACAAGTCTCCTGGTTTCTAGCTTGATGTCTCAGCCCCTAGACTAAATTGGCTTTAAAACTTAACTTTATCATTAATTAAAATAATGTTTCTCAAACTGTGAGCTATGACTCTCCATAAGGTTCTAAGCAAGGGATGCAAGGTCACTAGAAATATTCCAAGCAGGCTTAGCAGTTGGATATATCCTGAATATAAAGCAACTTGAGATTCCATAGCACTTCATGAACACCCAATAGGTTTGTTTGTTTGACCATACTATGTTTATCTTTCAAAGTAGTAATCATACCAGGAGATTATGAGTCTTCTATGCAAAGTTCTTTCTGTCTGACCTGATGCTTAGGTTAGAGGGAAAGGGGCATTTTAGGATGTCATAAATTCTTAAAAGTTTGAGAACCTTTGCTTAAGATATTTATTCATTACTCTCTCCCCAAACTTTGAGACTATCCCACCTGCTTTGAGATTTTTACAATTTTTAAGTAGCATATTTTAAGTAAGTGAATAAATAACAAACATTGATACGGCCAAAATCTAAGAAAATATTTAGATAGGTTTGGTTTGAGTTTTGTTCTGAAGGTTACTGAAAATTATTTTGAGACTTACAATGATCATTAAGTTTTTGTTATGGTCAAAAGTGAAAAATATTTTAGATTATAATGACTAAACAAGTATTTTTTTATATTTAGTATTTACTTTTACTAAGCATTTATTAATTTGGCTTTATTTCATAAATACAGCCTCATTGTTAATCTAATACAAAATTAATATAATTAGCTGTGCTTTGTCTTTAAAAATAACCTGTCTTGTATATGGCTTAGAAATTTTAAACTTCCAAAATTAAATCAAGCAAACCATAAAATTTAAAATGTTATATTCATTCATAGTTTTTCATAGTCTTTTCAATGGAGCTATGTTCTGACTCTCTTGAGTTTCACTCAGATGTTGCCAAAATCAAATGAAGCTTCCCGTCAGCATGAAAGCCATCCAGAAGAGACTGAAGAAGAATTAAGAGAACATCAGACATTTTTGGAAGACCAATACATTGACAGCACAGCAAAACAAAAGGAAATTGAAGGATTGACCCAAATGGTCCACGTGAAGCAAGAACCTGCTGAAAGTGATGAAGATGGAGAACAACAAGAATTGGAACCAGGACAAAGGCAAGCAGAGCAAGAACTGCTCTTCAGACAGGTAGAATACATTAAATAACAGCATTTATTAGTTAGTGTATAGTTTCCAGAGGCTTGTATATTTATTATTCAGTCATTCTATATAGAAAGAACAGCTGGGTTGACACAACACAGTATATCAGAATGTGACTTTTTTATTCTGACATTGTATTCTGTGCAAACCCAACCTATTTGCTTTTATTTAAAAACCTATAGAACAGAAGTTTCAAATTCCTGAGTATCAAATGGGTTAATTATAGAACATAACTACATAAAATTTTAATGCCAAGAATTAGGATTCAAGAATACAGAATCCTTAGAACTGATAGGACTAATGTAAAGTTATGCCAACTCTTGATAATTTCAGTTCAGAAGAGATGTATTTAGTTTGCTGCTTCTATTATAAATGTGAGAATGTTAATCACATTTGTCTACCATTCAAGTGTTTCATTTTTTATTCTTCATTGTCTTCTTCATGTCTGAAGTAGAAGTTTGTCTTTACTTTCAAAAAGGATACATGATAGTTGTCCCTGTACAGAGAAGTATAACGATTCAGTTTTCATTGAAAAATGCAATAATATAAATTGCAAGATTGTTCTTCTTTTTCATAATATGCATTATATTCAAAACCATTCTTAATGTATATTAAGGCAGAGTGACCTTGTACTTTGCTATACTATTCATCCTTTGAAAAAGTTAACATGGATTTTTTTTGAAGAGATTAAGATTGAGCAAATTTTAAGGAAAAATAAAATATGTGTGTGAATTGTTAATAATTCTGTTTAAGTTGAGAAAAAAATTGTCATGATATAAAGAACTTTGTACATAATTACATTTAGCACTACTTAATTACTTTGAATCTCTTCAGTGACAAACTTGTGTCACAAGAAAAAATGTAGTTGGTGGTCAACCAAACTGGACAATATTCTTTCTACAGTGCAGGCAGACCTCAATTTACAACCATTCATTTAGTGACCATTTTCACACTTAATGACTATTGCAGCATCCCTGTATTCATGTGATCAAAATTCACACACTTGGCAGCTGGCATTTATTTGTGATGGGTCATGTGGTCACCCTTTGCAACTTTCTGATAAGCAAAATTAATGGGGAAGCCAGATTCATTAATAGCCATGTTACTAACTTAACAACTGCAGTGATCCACTTAACAACTGTGGCACTGTGACGGGATAGATCATAAAATGGAGCAAACTCACTTAACTGTCTTGTTAAGTACTGGAATGTTTGGGCTCAGTTGGGTTGTAAGTCGAGGACTGCCTGTATTTTCTTCAACTCAATATACAGTGTTGGATTCATATTAATTTTTACAATGTTTTCTTCATTTTCTGTACCTAATTATATATCTAGAACTCTTTTTTTGTCTTTAACCCTTTTTGCCTTTTTCTCCTTTCTTTTGCTTTCATTGTTACCCTAAAGATGGTTAAAATATTGCTAATTTATTCCAGTTATGGTCCATCATTTAAAGGTGATTCTTGAGTCAGCTGGATATTTCTTCAGTTGGATATTTCGTAGTTTAGAATTCAATGACATACCCAATTTGCTTTTAGAAAAGTTGAGGATGAATTATCTTTTAACTCTCCAATTTCAGACAAACAATCAACTTTTACTATGAAAATTTTATTTGAGAGGTCGTTGGTGCTCTCTGAGATTGCTTGTTTTCTTGCAGACATTTTATTATTTAAACTAAGTAACATCATCATGATCAACATATTGGCTAATAAAGCAAATGGCTAGTAGACTATTATGAAGTAGTTGTTCACAAACAAAAAATAAGAGATTTGTAAAACAAGTCTTCAAACAATGACACATTTTATGCTCCCTTATAGCAAACTCTTTTACTGGAGCAGCAGCGCATTCATCAGCTCAGAAACTACCAAGCATCCATGGAAGCTGCTGGCATTCCTGTATCCTTTAGTGGACATCGGCCACTTTCTCGAGCTCAGTCTTTACCTGCTTCTGCCAATTTTCCATTATCTACACAAGAGACATCGTGTAAGCCACAGTTCACAACAGGTAATATCTGGGGAAAATATCTGTTGGAATAATGGCAGCCCAGCTCTCTTACATAATTTTGCTGGAGTTCCCTGGATGAGGAAGATCACAAATGCAGCAGATGCTTTGCTAAGAATTCTGGCAAAACATCATAAATGCATTGGTCCAGAAGTGGGGTTGCCTTGCTTTACGTTTGAGTTGTGTGGTGACTGGATGTTCTTGGCAAAATGTCCTTTGATTAATAGTGAGATGTCTTAATTTTGTTTCAGTTAGTACTTGTAGGAACAGAATAGGTTTTCTTGAGACCAAATTGTCATAAGTAGTTTTGACAGAATGTGAGGTGCCTGGCAAGGATCTGTTGGAAAAGAAAGGGGGAGGGCAACAGAAACGAAATCCTCTAAGTCTGTATATCTGGGATTATCGAGTCCTTTGGGGAAATGATAATATAAGGAAAATGCAGAAATATTTTGGCCTAGATTATAAAGTGAAGGGGTCTAGCATTAAAAACGTGTGTTCAAAAATACATTCAAATAATTGTCTTTTACTTCATGAGTTAAAGCTACTGTAACTTTTGAAAACTGTATAGGAATCACTTTTGTTTCTTCTTCTGAGCGTTTTCCTGCAAGTGCAGGATCTACTTTTTTGGGATCAAATGAGTGTTGATCCATTGGTGGAGGTAACCATCACCTGAGCCTGATGTCATGGGGTGAGAAAGATCCAAAGTCACCCAGCCAGCAATCAAGTGGAATTAGAATTCAGTCTTAACCCCTAGACCAAACTGGTTCTCTCTGTCTAGGAATCATGTTTAGAGTATATAAGCCTGGCTTCCCAGCCAGTATTTTGGTTTTCGAAATCATTTTCAGCAATTACAAGTTGTCCTTGACTTAACAAATGTTTGCTAAACAATACTTCAAAACAATGGCTCCAAAAAAAGTCAGTTAGGCCTTACTACTATCACCCCATTTAAGTGGTCACATGATTGCAATTTGGGCACTTGGCGGTCAGCCCACATTTATGAACAGTTGCAGTGTCACATTGTCATATGATCATAATTTGCAATGTTTCTGCCAAACAACAGCAAAGGCTACCATCAGTTAAGCTAGATTCCCCTTACAACCCTGTAAGTCGACTTACGACTGCAGTAAAAATGGTTGTAAAATTGGGTCCTGTAACATGATAATTCAATTTATGACTGTAACAACTTATGACAGAAATCTGGTCACGATTGTGATCAAAAGTCAAGGATTATCTTTAGTGAAAAAGTTTAATTTATGTGAATATTTGTATTACTTGCAAAATCCAGAATATTGTTATAAATCTCATCTATCCTGCTATTATGTTTGCTTTTATAAACATTTGTATACTGCCTATTGCATATTCTAAGAATATAGTAAAATATATATGCACACCTTCAGCATTGCTTCCCAAGAAGAACAAATAATGGAAAGTTGAATGAAATTTGCTGAAGTTTACAATTCTATAAGATCTTAAAATTCATCACCAAAATTTTGAATTGGACCTGGAAAATCAGTAACCAATGCTAAGTCTTTTTACCACCAGTTAGCAGAAAGGCCAATATGTTCTGGGTGAGCTGCAACTTCGGTGTCATTTTCAAAGGCAGCCCCACATAGTGTATTGCAGTGTCTAACAGTGATGAGTTATTGTCATCAAGGCCTCCTGGTCCAAAGAATATGTAGTTGGCATCTTAGTCAAAGCTGGTCTGGAGCTGTGAATCCAAAATAAATTCTAACAAACTAACTAATTAAAACATTTATTCCATAATTAATATTCTTATCTCAACAAATAACTGGAACATCAGCAGTTTTACCAATATCCAGATGGCAAAAGTTCATTTCTCTTGAAATTGTTAGCTAACAATGCGCTGGGCTTGAATAGGAATAAAGTCTTGATAAACTACAGTCATGTGAAAAAGAAAATACACCCTCTTTGAATTCTATAATTCTATCAGGACATAGTAAAAATCATCTGTTCTTAGCAGTTCTTAAAAGTATGCAAATAAACCTTAGATCAACGGTTCTCAACCTGTGGGTTGTGACCCTTTTGGGGGTCGCACGAGCCTCTCACAGGGTTGCCTAAGACCATTGGAAAACACATATTTCTGATGGTCTTAGGCAGGGCTTGTCAACCGCCTTCTCTCCCTTCCCCCCCTCTGCTCACTTGTTTGTGGAAAATATGCTGCTTGGCGCCAGTCTGCACTAACTCTACCAAATGTGCCCTGCAGGGGGCGCATGAAGAGCGCAGGCGCAGAGCAAGGCCCCGTCCTCCCCAGAGACTCATTGTGCAGCAACCGGATTGACTTCTTCTTGTGCACGCAGGTCAGCGAAGGGGAGGCCGCCGCAGCATCCAACTCCTGCGCCTGTCAGCTGGTGACCCCCGAACTTGCGCTTGTCAGCTGGGAGGTCTGGTGACGGCCACCGGTCTCCTTTGCCACCTTGCCCATCCTCGACTCTTCCGCCCGTTCATGTCAAGCCCACTAGGGCTTGACAGGGAGAGAGGGAGGGAAGGAGGAAGGGACTCCTCCTCCTCTCCTAAGCTTCAAAGCACAATCGGCTTCCCAAGGGCGCCACAATCCTCACGAAAGCGGGGGGGAAGCAAAGGAGCAAGAAAGCTCGCGGCGGGCTCGAAGGAGCACCTGTCAGCATTGGTGATGAGAAATTCCCCACAAACCCAGGGAAGAGGTGGAGAAAATGAGCCCCCTTTGGGAGGAAACTGCCACCTTCTTCTCCTTGGCTTTGTGCTCTTCTGTTCCTCGGCAGACAGGCTGCCAAGCCTCTGTTGGCTGGAACTTCCTTTCCTTCCCTCCCTCTTGGTCTCTTCCTCCTTCCCTCCTTCTCCCATTGTCCCTTCCTTCCTTCCTTCCTTCCTTCCTTCCTTCCTTCCTTCCTTCCTTCCTTCCATTCTTTCGCCACCCTCTTTGTCTCTCCTTCCCTCCCTCTTGCTCCTTGTCCCTTCCATCCTTCCTTCCCTCCTTTTTGTCCAGGATCAGGGCAAACCTCTACAGCTGATCCGCGCTTTTGCAGAGCAGCCAAGAAGCAGGTCAGCTGTAGCAGCTCTCCTTGGCTCCTGCCCAGCAAACTTGCTTGAGCTTTGCTAGAAAACATGCCGCTTGCTAATTTAGCAGAAGCGCGAATCAGCTGTAGCCCGGCGCTGATCTCGGAGCTTCTGCTAACTTAACAGACGGCATGTCTTCCAGTGAAGCTGAGCAAGTGAACTGGGCGGAGCTCTCCTCCGCCTGTGCACAGGCAGGTTTGGCATGTCGCCATGGCCACCAGCAGCAAAGCCCCCAGCCATGCTGGCAGCCTATCCCTCCCCTTGTCCCTTCCTGGGCATGGAGGGGGGGAGGAAGGAAGGGACGAAGAGGGAGGGAAGTAAGGGACAATGAGAGAGGGAAGGAAGGAAGGAACAATGGAAGGGAGAGACAAAGAGGGAAGGGAGGGAGGAAGGGACAAGGGGAGAGAGGGAGAGGGAGGGAAGGAGGGAAGGAGGAAGAGACTAAGAGAGGGGAAGGAAAGGAAGGAAAGAAGGAAGGAAGGGATAATGGGAGAGGGAGGGAAGGAGGAAGAGACTAAGAAGGAGGTGAAGGAAAGGAAGGAAGGAAGGAAGGAAGGAAGGAAGGAAGGAAGGAAGGGACAATGGGAGAGAGGGAGGGAAGGAGGAAGAGACTAAGAGGGAGGTGAAGGAAAGGAAGGAAATGACAAGGGGAGAGGAAGGGAAGGAAAAAGAGACTAAGAGGGAGGTGAAGGAAAGGAAGGAAATGACAAGGGGAGAGGAAGGGAAGGAAAAAGAGACTAAGAGGGAGGTGAAGGAAAGGAAGGAAATGACAAGGGGAGAGGAAGGGAAGGAAAAAGAGACTAAGAGGGAGGTGAAGGAAAGGAAGGAAAGAATGAAGGGACAAGGGGAGAGAGGGAGGGAAGGAGGAAGAGACTAAGAGGGAGGTGAAAGAAAGGAAGAAAAGAAGGAAGGAAGGGACAAGGGGAGAGAAGGGAGGGAAGGAAGGCAGGCACCCACCCCAGTCCCATCCCAGAGACCCACAGATTCCCCCCTACAGACACACTACAACCTGAGTGATCAGCTGGCCACGCCCCCTGGCCATTGATCACTTGACCCTGAGACACTTTGAACGTCATAAGTATGAATCAGTTGTCAAGCATCCGAATGTAAATCACATGACCCTGGGGATATTGCAACAATCATAAGTGTGAAAAATGATCATATTTCGCTTTTTCAGTGCTGTTGTAACTTCAAACAGTCACTAAGCGAATTGTTGTAAGTCGAGGACTACCTATACTTTCCCATTTTTTCCTTCTTCTTTTTTTGGTCAAGTTTTTGATACCCCCTGGCCAGCTGGATGGGGGGTTGGGGGTCACCACAACATGAGGAACTGTATTAAAGGATCGCGGCATTAGGAGGTTGAGAACCACTGCCTTAGATGAACATCAACACATGACATATTACACTATCAGCATTTATTTCATAAAAAGAGAGCCAAAATGGAAAAGCCATGTGTGAAAAACTAAGTATACTTTATGATTCAGTAGCTTGCAGAACCATCTTTAGCAGCAATAACTTGAAGTAATCATTTTCTGTATTACTGTATGCTTCTCACATTGTTGTGAAGGAATTTTGCCCCACTCTTCTTTACAACATTGATTAATTTGTTTATCTACAACTCTCTTGAGGTCCCACCATAGCATTTCATATGTTTTAGCCTCCAAGTTCCTAATCATCTTTGTTGCTCTTTTCTGCACTATTTCCAGAGTAGCGACCAAACTGCTGGCTCATATTTAAGTGGTTGTCTACTAGGACTCCTAGATCCTTCTCGCAGTTGCTGCTATAGAGCCAGGTTCTATACCTGTACATTTGGTTTTTCTTACCTAAGTGTAAAACCTTACTTTTCTCACCATTGATTTTTATTTTGTTAGATAGGGCCTAGTGTTAAATCTGTCAAGATCCTTCTGGAGCTTGAGCCTATCTTCTGGGGTGTTCGCTCTTCTTGCCAGCTTGGTGTCGTCTGAAAATTTGATGAGTTCCCTTGTCTATTCCCTCATTTAAATTGTTTATGAAGATATTGAAGGGTACTGGACCTAAGACAGAACCTTGGGGTATCCCACTACTTACTTTCCTCCATGTAGATGTAGTACCATTAAGGACTACGCGTTGGAAGTGGTTTGTCAGCTAGTTACAAATCTATCTCGTGATGGTATTGTCTACCCCACATATTTTATCTTACTAAGAAGTATGTTGTGGTCTACTTTAATGCTTTACTGAAATCCAAGTATCCTATGTCCACTGCTTTTTGCTGGTCCACTAATTTAGTCACTTTGTCAAAGATTGAAATAAGATTTGTTTGACATGATCTTTTTTTGGACAAATCCATGTTGGCTGATTGGTCTGTATTTTCCTGGATCCACTTTTCCCTCTTTTTTGAAGATGGGAACCATGTCAGCTCTTTTTCAGTTCTCTGGTAGTTCCCCGGTGTTCCAGGATCTTTGAAAGATATGATTTAGTGGTTCCAACATCAGGTCTGCCAGCAACTTCAGGACTTGAGAAGTAATCCAGCTGATCCTGATGATTTGAACTTGTCTAAGGTGGACAAGTGTTCTCTTTTATGTTTCTTTTTTTGCTAGGTTCAGCTATTTTTTTCTTTTTGTGTGAAGACAGATACAAAGAATTAAGCAGCTCTGTTTTCTCCCTGCTGCCCATCATATTCTCCTATTAGTGGATCATTATTTTTTTACTTTTTTCTTGTTTTTTACAGGGTTGAAAGAAACCTTTTTTTACTATTTTTGTCATTTGCAAATCTTACTACACTCTGAGCCTTAGCTTTCCTGACTTCATCTTTGCAGACTCAGGCTATTTATTGATGTTCTGCTTTAATTATGCGTTCCTCTTTACATTTTTTTTAATATTAATCCTTATAACTCTTCCCAGGTTATCGGCAGCAACAATTGCTTCTCTAAGATCATTGCTTTCCTCTTTGGCGTTGTGTTAAGATACAGTCAGTACTGGAGACCAGTAAATTCTTAAAACTTTGTTTTTTTTAAGTCACACTTGCTAATGATCAATTGGTCAAGGGCACTTGATTAACTGCATCTAGTTACTATTTAGCCTCTTTATGCCTATGAAAACAGTAAAAGTCTACTTAGTTTGTAACAGATTGATTCTTCATTTTGGATTTCTTTTTGTAAAATAAATGATATGGTGTAACATATCATTTATATTTTATATTTAAAATATGCAACATATTTTGTAAAATAAATGATATGTTGTATTTACCTGCTTTTAAGATCTGCTAAGGACCAGATTATTTTTTAGTATGTCCTGATACATAAAACCATAGAACTCAAAGAGGGTATACTTTCTTTTTCACATAATTGTAGTAGCTTGCCTTGTATATTACTGTATAAAAATCTAAGAGACTTTTCTAGTTTTTAACTCTGTTCTTTTTTTTAAAGTAAAAGTAACAGTAAGCAAATTCTAGAATACAATAGACCTGTGAAATAGACCTTGAAAATTAATGTTTCACTCTTCAAATTTAGAAAACTTAAATTTCTAAATTTAAGAAATGTAAAATGTTTGCATAATATAAGAGCTAAAGAAAACAGCTTTTGTTGTTTTAGAAATGCTTGTTTCATATGCCATCAGAATAGATCTCCAAATAAAAATGGATCTACCTACTTTCCACCTCAGACAAATGGGCACAGCAATCCAACACATACCTCCTAATATTTATATATAGCTGTCATGTTCTTATATTTGTGCACAGCCCAGAGACATTGTGTGGGGGAGATGGGCAGTTTCTAAGTTTGATAAATAAATAAATATCCCAAATGATGTACCTACTCCTTCAGAGAAAATGCAGCACTATAGAGGTATATTTTTCTGCTCCTGGCAAGAAAAAGAAGGTGGAAAATAAGTGGCAATTTTCATCATGCTAAATCATGATTTAATAATTATATCTCAGCCAGCCCAAAATATTCTCTTAAAACAATATTCTGTATATCTTCAACAATAATAATAATAGTGGTTGTGCCCTATTTTTTGTTAACATCGTAATTGCTGTGGTGATGCAATGGTTCGAATGCAGTATTGCAGCTAATTCTGCTGACTGCCAGCAGTTCGATTCTGTCTGGTTCGAGGTTGGATCATCATTCCATCCTTTCGAGATTGATAAAATGACAACCCTGATTGTTGGGGGCAATATGCTGACTCCGTAAACTGCTTAAAGAGGGTTGTAAAGCACTATGAAATGGTATATAAGTGCTATTGCTATTGCTACTTTCTTATTTAAATATCAGAGAAGTTCTGGAAGTGATGGAAATAAAATAAATTGGAATCTAAAAAGTTTGTCTCCACTTAGTAAACCTCTGTCTACATTTTTATTTTGAAATTTGCTATTTCAAATTATACTTTTCTATATGCATATACAATGTATAAATAACATATCCTTATGCAACTTTATAGAGACATAAGGTCATTGGGGAATTTGTTCATCTTGTCAGTAGAAGTAAGATTGTAGCCTGAAGTAATTCATATCCTTTGATGCAGGTCTTGTGTATGACACCTTGATGCTGAAACACCAGTGCATTTGTGGAAACACAAACAGTCATCCAGAACATGCAGGGAGAATCCAGAGCATTTGGTCACGGCTTCAGGAAACAGGTCTTCGTAGCAAGTGTGAGGTAATAGATGAACTAATAGAATGGAGGGACAGTGGGTTTGGCAGCAGAATGTTGCAGCAGATGTTGCAGCAGAAATTTCTGAACTACATCACTGCTGATCATAGTTGTTTTTCATGTAAATTATCAAAGAAAATAGAAAATGTGTTTTCTGCTATTCTAGGTATATTTTTAAATCTATTATTCTGTGATTCAAATCTTAGAATTGAAAGAAATCATTTAGGCTAGGGGTTGGCAACCTTCTTCAACATAGGGCACAGAAACTATATTGCCATTTTTCTGGAAGACTTATTGCTCTTCCCACACTGAGATGGCTGATTAAGCCATTGACAAAATGACTGCCTGAGAAGGCAACGAGTACTCTGTCTTGCTTGGACTAGGGTGAATGTATTTTTTTGGGGACTGGATATCAGGCCACAGGTTGCCAACTCCTACTCATGCATATAGGAATCCAGATTATTATTCCTCTCACCCTTCATAGGAATGCAGGCAATGAAAAGAAAACCCATACCTATCTCCATTATTAGTTGCATGGCTGAATTGGTCTTATATCTCAATAATTCAATTATTGAATTTCTGCCTTTTGAAAATTCAGTTTTCCAGAAGTCACAGCCAATGAATTTGTTGACAATGAGGAAATAAATTGTCATGATTATTCTTGACAGATTGCCCGGTACTGAGAATTAAAGCTCCTCCTTGTTTCTCTGGGGATCTTAAAACAGTTAGAGGCACAAGGGGTATACAATTTGTCACAACTATGGACATAGTTTGGTCTATGTCACTGAATCTGTAGCATGGCACTGAAAATGACAACATTTATTTTAAGGTTCAATTACAACCTCAAGTAGTTGTCCCGAGGAGGGATGGAGGGTTTTTTAAATCTATCCTAGAAAGCCCAGTATTGGAGCCTCAAATAAATATTGTGATAGATTTACAATGCACTTTAAGCTTTAGATAACTTAGTTTCTTGCCAGTTTGAAGACTTCTTTTGATGTAATATTTGCTGAGTTACTCAGTATGTGATGTGTTTCAATTAGCTAAAATCATTTTCAGTTTATGAGGCCTGAAATTATGGACAAGATGCCTGTGGTTGTCTACCTTATGATATGCTCCCTTGAGCCCTCCCTAATTTGGCTTATTGGAACCAGGTAGGGGAGGCTTATGGGGGGGGGGGATCTTCCCTGGATCCAGAGGACTTTGTAAACTATTGTCCAGTTAATGGGTAGTTTATTGAGGACAGGGTGCTTGAGAGGGTGATAAAAATGCTTTATATGTATTTGGAGGACACTATTTATATCAGCCCTTTCAATCTGTGCTTAAACTGATTTGGGTACAGAATCAGCTATTGTATAGATGGATGCTTGCAGAACAGAGAGGAGTGTATGGCTTTGTTGAAATTGCTTGATTTCACAATAAATTTTAATCATGGTATTTTGTAGACCATCTCTGTGAGGTAGGGATTGGGAGCACTTGGTTAAATTGGTTCCCATTCTACTTCAAGGATAGAAGTCTTAACCTTGATGGCTATGGTAGACAACCTGGCAGCTATGCTATGATGCATACCATTTTGTCCCCTATGCTATTTAACATTTGCATGTAGTTTTTGCCGCTGTAGGGTCACATGATGGCTAGGAGTTTCTGTTATCAACTTTAGCTGGTATAATAACTACACTGGTTCCTACAGAATGACAGCCTCTCTGTAATATTTCATGCCATGGTGACTTCACATTTAGATTACTGTAAAGTGGAACTATTTTTAACATTTGTTCTGGAAGATGTATCTGCTTATAGAATATAACTAATAGATTGCTGTGAGGCATCTGGCTACCCATAAATGCACTGGCTATCAGTGAGTTGCCAAGCGAGGTTTGTAACATATAATTCATAAATAACTTGGGACCAGATTGTTGGTCAAATTGCCCCTTCCTTCCAATAAATAAATTTCTTTATTTCAGCTCCTTATCAAGCTTCCTTATTCAATGACATTGGGTCCCTTATGTTTCTTTCTAGCATTGTTTGTGACTGCACTATGATTTCAATTCCCCTTTCAAAAAGTTCCAGCTGGCTACTACATTTTTAAGGTTTTCTTCCTACTGGGATCTTCCTTATTGATTTTATTTAATCAATCTTAGTTGATTAAAATTGACCCATCTAACATTCATGGTTTGTCTTTGACTGTTTTTACTGAACATTTTTGTTAAAAATCAAGAAGTTTAACAATGCACCAAAAATAGTACCACTGGACTATTCAGGTAAACTTAATCCTAATGGCAGTGCTATTTCACTCCTCTCTTATATGTCTGTCATTTTGAAACAAGGTGCACCCATTCAAACCTAACGTTACACTGGTAAATTTCTGATTTATATATTTTATATGATAATCATATAAAATAGTATTTTATAAAGGCTAAGAAGCTTCCTATTCTCTTAGTTGCAATAAAGTACTGTGCAATACCACCATCTCCCTTCCCCCCTGTACCCTTGGTGCAGCTTATTTCAGATAATGTAATTGGCATATGCATTTCTGCCAATTTTTGTGTGAATAGAGGAGCTGTATGTAAACATTACAGGTGGGATACATATCCTTGCTCTCTCATCTACATTTGTATTAAATATTGTTTTTTGTTGGTATATTAGATGATAGGAAACAGCTTTCATTCATTCACTTATAGCTAGTGAAAATCTTGGCTGCTTTAAAGGGGATTTTTTTTATTCTAGACACCTGTAAGGTGTCTTCCATTTATGCATTCAGAAAATATTATAAAATTGACCATGCATTTTTCTTCTTACAGCAGAATATTCTTTAGAGATTCTGGGATTAAAGTTCCTGATCTCGTTCTGCCACCCTTAATTTCTCTATTATGTCCATAGTGGGTTTTTTTGGAAACTTTGAGAAAAAATGTAAATTTTCTATAATTTCTCTTCAAGAAACCTCTAGAAGGGGTTAGAAGGGCATGAAGGTTAATAGCCATTTGTTCTGTATCATTCTGATGTGGGCAATATGGGCATTTCCTTCTCCTGACAGAGGTGGTCCTGCTTTATAAGTACCAGAAGAAGTACCATCTCTAAGTCAAACAATGTCCATCTCCCTCCATGAGGATCCTAGAACAGAAATTTGTGGTAAGAATAGTTTTCTGTCTCTTATTTTGCCTACAATTATTCAACATTTCAGACTTAAAATAGAGAAGCCTTGTGAAGTCAGTGCATTTCTGATGTAATCTCTTTGAACAGTGGCATTTGTGTACACATTTATTTATATTTTTCTATTTGGGATACTGCTTTTTCATCAAGCAAAATGGAATTTCACTTGCTTCCTTTTCTCCTGTAGTGTATCCGTGGAAGAAAAGCAACTCTAGAAGAATTGCAGACTGTGCATTCAGAAGCACACACACTGATTTATGGTACCAACCCTCTGAACAGACAGAAATTGGACAGCAGGAAATTGTTAGGTACAACAAAAAATGTAATGTTACCTGCTTTCCAGTTGTTCATTTTGATTTAGGAATCTATAGATACAAAGTTCACTTAATCTAGGAATCCAGTTCTTAAACCAAATTGTTGTATGCTTTGGTACCTTCTACTTGACAAACTTTCCCATAAAGGCATACTTTTGCAATTTATTTTTCCTCTTGGAGACATTTTACTTATACATAGTATTCTAATGTTATACTACATTGAATTGAAAATTGTACACACAGATATGCAGGTATATTTTTCTGTCCAGATCAGTCAACTTTTTCAGAAGGAACCCATAATTTAAAATATCTATGTATTTTAGCTATTAAATTTCAGTTTGTACCAATTTAAATTAACGTTGCAAAGAAATTTGTTTAAAAGTTACACAGTGTAAGGACCCACCCCACTTTGCATCTTAAGAAGACAGAACTCTTGGAATAATTCTTCCAACAGGAATCCTTTATTAAGAAGAAATGGTTGCAGGCATGCTAGACAGGACTTGGGGTTCAAGCTCTCCCATTCAAGGTTTTAAGGGGTTCCCCAGTAGTCCCACCCAATCAACCCCCCTTCCAGTGATAGTTTCAAGTATCACAATTCCACCCCCTTTCTTCTTTCTTCCGTCTGGATGGAGACTTCAGATAACTACATGAAAGGCAAATACCCTTCTTTGTTATGATAAGGTCCTCTGGTGCTAATGCTTTGAGGTTACAATAAACACACATTCAGCATTCAGCTCTTTGAAGTGTACTGAAGGAAGTGAGGGCCATAAAGCCCCTTTGTTCTCCCCCTTCTCTCCCTCTTATGGCAGAATCCAGAGAAGGCAGAATTGGGAGTTTCTATATTTGATAATTAAAGATGAAATATAATTGGATTCTGACACACAGTTTTTAATAAGCATATTCATGTAGTAACACTGCCATAGAACCAATATGGATGCAGTCATCTGGAAAAAAACATTGACTTGATAATGTCTTTATATATTTTTTATTTTTTGCAATTCAATGGAAGTTGGAAAGAGATTATGTAAAGGGAATTGAGACTTTGTCTATCATCACCACAACTCTGGCAGCTGAACAGAGTATAACTAAACTTCATTTGGGAAGATAAGCTGACAAAAGAGAGATCAAATTTGAAGTGAGTTAGATAAGACTAGGAGCTATGAAGAAAATAGTTCAGAAAACATCCCCCAGAGCAACTCTGTGGGGAAGACAATTTAGCAACAATTTGGAATGCTGCCAGTTGCTCCAGTCCAAGTTCCCCTCATTTCTTCCCCTCAGTCATATAACCCAGAGGGACCCTATTCTTTCCTATTATTTTTTTAGTATTCAAGAAACTGCAGTCTTTCCCTACTTTGTTTATCCACTGTATTTGGCAATAATCAATATAACAGCCTTGTTCTTATATACATGTGATATGAATTATTCTCTAATGTAAAATTGGATTAATTTAGAAAAATTACATTTTTTTCTGAAATAAATGTAGATTTGTTGTTAAAACTGGGAATGTTTTTAACAGCAAAGGTAGATCCAAGCTAGAAACCAAGAAACTGAGTTCTAGTCCTGCCTTAGGCATAAAAACCAGCTGGGCGACTTCGGGCCAATCACTCTCTCTCAGCCCAACTCACTTCAAAGGATTGTAGGAAAAATAGGAGGAGGAAGGAGTATGAGGTATGTTCGCTGCCTTAAGTTATTTATAAAAATAAAAAAGATTGGATTAAAAAATATTTTAAAAGAGTGCAAATATTGACCAAATATTAATAATAGCACAGTGCTCTTAATATTATGTTCTTTAAAAGCATGAAATTTATGTTAATTATTCATGTTTAGGATTCATGCAGTAATTCCCCCTCAGCCTGTTAAAACCAGAGTCATATGTCACATCAAATGACTTTTGGTACATTTGTTATCTCAGAGATTTTATAGATCATGGAAGCATATATTAATAAGTATGTTACTCTTTTTCTGTAAGGGTCTACCAAAGTACTCTTGAGGACTTTTCCTTCAGGAATTTTTATCGTCATACAAACTTAGCTTTTTGATAGTCCATTTTGGATCAGATTGAGACATGATTTTACATAAATTATTTCTTCATGATTTGTATTCTGAAGATGCAACATGGATGATTTTCTGGATATTATAGTCAGTTAAAACTAGGAACCCTTAAGATTATATATTCCTGTAAATCAGAGCATTTTGATGGGCACAAAAAATATCTTGCATGTTTTTAGGAAATTGATATCCTACAAATTCGTTTTAATTATTTATTTATTAACTTTATTATAGCTGGGTGACTTACAATATCAAATAAACAGTTAAAACCAGTTAAAAGAGACATTTTTAGCCCATGGCAGCCTGGGCTAAAACAACCATACTGAACTGACAGATAACTGACCCAATAGTTTCATATAGATACTAAATAGGAGGAGGAAAGCATGTAATGCAGGGGTCCCCAACACCCAGTCCATGGACCAGCACCAGTCTATGGCATGCCAGCAACCAGGCCTCATAAACAAGCGAAGCCCCACCTCTGGGATGCAGGCAGCATACAAAACCATGCCCCCTTCAGTCCATGGAAAAAGCTTTCTTCACGGAATCAGTCCCTGGTACTCAAAAGGTTGGGGGCCACTGATATAATGGTCTTGTGATAAAGATTCCCAATTCCTTTTTTCTTTCCCCTTTTTAATTGTACATTCTAGAGAAAGACTAGAAACAAAGAGAAATAAAACAGTAAAACACAAATAAGTAAACAAGTTCTAAAATATAGACATATTCATATAGTTTCCAATATACCATTGGAAACAGTCAATTAAGAATTAAGTTTTAAAGCTTAAACTTTAATAAGAGTACATATTAGAAACCATGGTCAATACAATTTAAATAACTGATTATAAGCTATAATAATTTGAATCTGTATTGGAAATCTATTGTAATTGGAGTATCCCATGAAGTTAATTCTGTACACAGACTATAGTTTCTGTAGATTCTGTACATAGAAATTTTGGATGAAGTGTAAAATCCCTGTGTTAAGTTATAGTCCAAGAGTCAGAGTGCACAGTCTTATTGTGTTGAGGTAATCCAGGAATAAATACAGTAAACAGTGGTTTGTATTAAATGGTGGTTTATATACACTATCTACAAATATACACTAGAAACAATATACATACACGTGGTGAAACAGCGAACTCCAATACACAGCAATTACAGCAGTCAAACGAACGAGAGAGAAAGACTCCAGCAAAGCCTTCCCTTTTATACTCAAGCTTTTAAAGGGATACAGACACCTGCTGAGTCATTCCTATTATTGCATCATCCACCTTACATTGCATTACATCATTACATAAGCTGTTTGGCTATTAAATTATTATCCTGACACCAAGAATGGTTTCCAAATAGAATTGAATTCTGTGTCAGATAAGATACAAAGTTATTTTGTACATTGAAACATACTCCAACAATTTGGACAGCCATTCTTCCAAGGAAGTAATTGAACAACCCCATGGGCGGTTAACATATACAAAGCAAATTCAGCATATTTAAAAACATTATAGATTGGGAAAATTTAATTTAAAAACTGCAGGATGAAATAGAAATTAAACTTTAAAAAATTGCTTTATTCTTATATGGATCATTGTACAAAGTTATTGAATTTTATAACATTGCCACCAAATATGAATAAAGTGATCCAACTTGCTATTATATTTCTTTCAAGAGTTTTAATTAATACTGCTAAAATACAAAAACAAACAGAAAAATAAGCAATAAGAGGAAAAGCAGTCAAATAAAATTAACATAATCAGATAACTGCATGCAATGGCACTTTATAAAGCCCTGGCAAAATGTATATCTAAAATAACCAATTAAGTCTTTCTAACTCAGACTATAATAATAGCGTTGGTCAGATTCATACTGTTCAACATTTTTTACAAATCTAGTTCTCACAACAGTAGGGCAACATCTACATATCAGATAACCTTCATTTAGTGACTATAATTGGAACCAGCAACTCAGTCACTAAGTCGCATGGTTGCTGTGGAAAATAACATTAACACACAACCGTGCTTATTATTTTACTTCAGCTTTCCTTTGCTTAACAGCATCAGAAGTATATGACCCCATACAGCTGGGCAAATCCAAACCGTGGGGTAGGTTTCCAGAACTCTATGAGGAAGTTGGTAAAGGGCAAATGTTATAGCCCTTTGCCCCTATTTCCCACTGATTCACTCTGGTTCTGGGATAATTAGCAGAAAGAGAATTAATGTTTTTATTTATATTCTTTGGAGAGGACGGTATTACAAGAGAGTAAGTAGGCACATAATGGGAAATACATAAATTGAAAGGAATTCACTAGTGCCAGCTATTTGCCCAATACACTAGGCTCCAGCCCCGAGGTGTTTAGGAGGCAAACAAAAACTTAAGGTGTGAAACAAGACCAAGCCTTAAGGACAAATGCATACAAAGTCAAAATTGAGAAGACAGCAACAGACAGTAAGTGCCGCCTATGCAAAGAAGCTGAAGAAACAGTGGACCACTTGGTAAGCTGTTGCAAGAAGATTGAACAGACTGACTACAAGCAGCGGCATGACAAAGTAGCAACAATGGTGCATTGGAAGATCTGCAAAAAATTCCATTTGCCTGTAAGCAAAAACTGGTGGGATCATAAAATAGAGAAAGTCATAGAAAATAATAAAATTAAAGTGCTCTGGAACTTCAGAATTCAAACAGACAAGCACCTGCAACATAACACCCCAGACTTAACAATTGTCGATAAGAAAGACAAAAAAGTCTGGATAGTGGACGTGGCAGTGCCTGTAGATAGCAGAATAGAAGAGAAAGAACTGGAGAAGATAACAAAATACAAAGACCTACAAATAGAAATAGAAAGACTGTGGCAAAAGCAAGCAAGGGTAGTACCAATAGTCATAGGCTCCTTGGTGCAATCCCAAAACAACTGGAGCACCACTTGAACACCATTGGCATTGACAAATTCGCTATTA